CTATATATGGAAGTCTCGAAAAAAGAATCGTTTCTGAGACTAAGATCCGATTGTCGAATCTGCCTCCTGCTTGTACCCCTAGTATCACTGAGGTATCTTTTAATATATTATATTAAGAATTAAAGAAAGAATAAAAGTGTAAAACTTGACTTGTCTACAAAAAAGGACCTATATCATTCCATAGGCAGTATGGCAGCATTTTGAAACCATTCAGAATTCTTAACATTCATATGCGTTACTACACTTGCTACGTGGTTATAGTTCGTGATATGTTTTCAAAGGCGATTCTCTCGGCTTTGTATGTGTTTCAATGACAAATTCTATTATTCTGTCTTTGTGCGAAGGGTCCTTCATCATTAGTCAACATGGTGCAGAAAAGTAGGACGTAAAACTCCATTCATTTCATTTTATGAGCGAAGGGTATCTTTTAAGAAATTTAAAGAGGTTTTATAAAAAAAATTATGTGTATCGGGGAAACTGTTGGCATCAATTTGCACCATTCAACTTTACAATCCCTTTGGTTTATGTAACAGCCGAGACACAATGCTTTCGAAATTCACATTAATTGGCGATACACGTTTGCCGAAAAATGGACCGATATGCAGAGTCAAATTCCTTTGCCTAGATCCCTTAAAGTTAAACATTTTGTAAAAGCCGAACACAATGTTTCACTCATTGATATTTATTGTTGGTACAAAGAAAATTAAACAAATATACAGAGTCAAATACCTTTACCCAGGATCCCTAATAAATCATTGACAGCACAGCTTTAAAACTGGTAATTTATAAAGCTACTCCTAATCTAATTAAAAACCAAAATACAGGACATGTCACAGAAAAACATCAATTGTCCGTCTACTCTATTGTTCAAACGACTTAGAATTGTTATCAGTCAGACTTTGTTGAAAGTGGGGAATTTGACACTATTGGTCGAAATGTCACCATCGTTTGATTGATTGTTTGAAATACCAAATTAACACATTCTTTGCCGATTGTGATTCACATATTGCACAAATAAAACAAATATGTAATGTGCATGTCAACGATCAGCAACGAATAGAATTGAATTAACAAAGCCAAATTCGTCGTGCAAGGCCACGTACAAGTATGCAAATCAATATTCTATACAATTTTGAAATTTCTGATGTCTTAAAAATGAAAGCCGAAATTGGTTTTTTGGTAAGAATATTAGTAAATGGGGGCCAATATTGGTTTTTGATAAGTAGATGAAAATATTATTTTGCCTTTTCGCATTTGTCAGTTAAAGGATTGTAAAGAGGTTTTCTAAATTTTGTACGTGAATCGCAGACACAGATAACGTCAATTTGCGCCATTCACGTTTTTAATCAGACGTCTGTGGTTCTAGCAATTCTACTAAAACTAAGTGTTTTATGACGCCAACTCAGCAAAGGTCTTATGTGGTACAAGCAAATTCCGTGGGGGTGACGTCATAACACACTTAGATTTAGTGCAATTGCAGGAACCACAGACGTCTGATTAAAAATTGGAATGGTGCAAAGTTACGCATAAAAAATTTAGAAAACCTCTTTACAATCCGCGTAAGACAGAAATCATAAAAAATTGAGAACTATTCATAATATGAAATAATCTATCAGATATTACTAACATACCTTAATATTCTAAAACTGGAAGTATGCGCCAATTTACTTGGTATTTGAATAACTATATTTTATATAGAAAAAAATAATTGAAAATCGGTGCATATTTGAAAAGGTTTTTATCACATGTGTGTTGTTAAAACATGGATTACTTTCTTTATTGACATTGATAATATCAAAATCAATTGCAATGACTGTGAACAGCTCCCAGCGAGGCAAGGAGACCTTATCCCATGGATTTCAAACCTTTTGAAACTTCTAGTCTGTTAGCTTTCAACTCCGGTGCTTTTAAGCCTACAATTTTTGAACAAGAAATTAAAATGTTCGTGTATCTGATAAATAACACCTGTTAATCAACGTATATTATTTAGAGATAAAACTAGAAAATTTAGATTTTTTCTGGAAAGAAATTCCAAATTTAATTTTAATTGCAAACCACCCATGTCACATATCATTAAAAAGTGAAAATTGAGTACATCCTAATTATGAAAACTTTGTTACAAAGAACAGAAAAAGGAAAACCGGGGTAAATTGGTCCACAAAAAGCTATACAGCCTCCAAACCAAAATATTTTGCACATTATGCAATATGTCACTTCCGGTGTAGCAAAAATGGCACTGTTGTAGTTTCGACCCGTTACCCGTACTATGCTTAATCAGTCGCTGAAGTCGTTCCTTTGTGCCCCTATTGCTGCATCGCACCCCGATAGCAATATCGACACGAAAGTGGCAATATGACTTAATAATGTGTCTGGATTCCTCACAGCAATTTTCAGATCTATTAGACACCCCATTCTTCGTTAAATCAATCACCAAAGTCATGCCACTATGCCCCTATTGCTGCATCGCACCTCGATCACTTCCGATCGCGATATCGACACGAAACGTGGCAATGTGACTTAGTGATGTATCTTGATTACTCACAGCAATTTTCAAAACGATCAGACACCCCATTCTATGTTAAATCAATCACCAAAGTCATGCCACTATGCCCCTATTGCTGCATCGCACCTCGATCACTTCCGATCGCGATATCGACACGAAACGTGGCAATGTGACTTAGTGATGTATCTTGATTACTCACAGCAATTTTCAGAACGATCAGACACCCCATTCTATGTTAAATCAATCACCAAAGTCATGCCACTATGCCCCTATTGCTGCATCACACCCCGAACACTTCCAATCGCGATATCGACACGAAACGTGGCAATATGACCTAGTAATGTATCTATCATTAGATATATCCCACCAAGGACAATAAATTTTGTAAGGTCACAAGCTCACCAAATATCAAGGTCACGATATTTGACCCTAGAAAGTTTCTACAATTACTGAAAAAAAACTCAAAAGGTAATAGAATAAAACAAAATTTCAAAAATCCACACGAATACGTTTTAGAGCAATCGTTTTTATTGTCCAGAGATACCAAAATCATACAAAAAAGACTTAATCTTTAGGTGTAATAAAGTAGCAAAATGGCGGTTTAAAAGTTATTTTAGTGTTGGATTGTTCCGTATTTCTTTCATTTGTGTTGTGTTGTCGTCTTTTTTAGCACCAGGAATGTCAAAGCAATCGGATAAATAGCAGAGAAAATAAAAAATTTTGCCAAAATTTGAAAAATTCTGCTAAAAAATGTGTGCTTTGAATTTTCAAAATTTGCATAAATATCGTGCCACGAAATTGAATTATTGGAATTGGTTTAAATGATTTAGTAATAATTCGCGTATGTCCATATGTTTTGGGGTATGTTTTATAAAAAAGGTCCAGCTTACCATTTCCATAAGCTAATCACACTGTTTCTTTCTTCCAGTTTCCTTTATCGAAATATAAATTATTCCCTTATAAAACTCAATGTATTCCTTTGTTTTTTTTTGTCACAGTCACCAAACCCGTCATGAGATTTCCAGTTCTACCAGTTCTTGTTATTTCCTTTCTTTCCTTCACAAGAATAATATCTCTCACACACTCACAATAGATTTCTCAAGGAATTTTAAAAAGTTTTTCTGGTAGATTTAACAATTTGTTACTTCCAGATTATCAGAAATATCCAAATCAAAATTGTTCATTTATTCGTACATTATATCGATAACAAAATACTTCCTTGTATTGAATACACCATGTATGTGGCAACGAATTCACAAATTTACAGAAAACTGTGTTTTATTTATTGGTTCTTGGTTTAGCCATCGCCGAACTCTGGATGTTCCGCCTGCCAGACTTCTGTTCTGTATGGTCTTCAATACTATCAGTCTATGATGTTCTTTTCAACCTTTCAAAGGCACTATCACTATCAACAAACTTCCAGAAACTAGTCTTTTATCTGCTGATTGTGCCAGCGTCATACTCCCGATATTGGGTTATGATGTTCTTTCAATCTGTTAAAGCAACTAGAACTTAATACAAATTTCCATTGATTTTGCCACCAGCGTCATGCTCCGTACGTCCCCCACTTTGACTTTAGCACTGCCTTGTTTTCTATTATATGAGCATTCGACCCAACTTTGAGATCTTTTGATTTTGTCTGTGTCGTTATTCGGATGTTCTCCTTCTGAAATGTATTCAATATTATGAGTATATAATATTGATTTCAACCTTTATAGAGCGCTGACACCTGTAGAGTGTACAAGCATATTGATATATTTAGACAATGGTTGAAATCTGGTGATGTAGGGAGGGGGTGTACTATTAACAGTGAGATACAAATACCACGAGAGTGAGCCTGGGAATACAACCCACATAATAGACCCAACCTGTTCTGCTGATTAACACGTATGTGTTTGATTCTCACGTTTCAGTTAAATGTCGAAGCTCATCAGTTAAAAATCACATGTACAAGATTTGGTTTTTATATAAAGAGTTACACTGCAGCTGGTATGAAACAGTGTAAATCATTAAAGGGATTGTAAAATTATGTGTATCGTGGACACGAATAGCATCAATTTGCACTTTTCCAATTTTAGTTAAGACGTCCGTGGTTACTGCAAAGCCACCAAAACTAAGTGTTTTATGACATTAGTCTTTTACCACAAATCATAAAATCCTTTGTGATAGGGGACGTACTAAAACACTTAGGTCGTATGCAGCGCTCGTACCTTGACTAAAGTCGAACTTTACAAAGTTAGGATCAAGGCATTCATTTTCTACATTTTATAGTCAAATTTAAGCACGACTTTCGTAAAGATCGACCAGTGCATAAGTCTAACTTTAGTCAAAGTTTAGGTAAAGTACGTGCACTGCATATGGCCCTTAGATTCCACACCGATACTGGTCGAGAGGTCAGATCTAAAGGCACATGAATTACTCTGTGGTTCGGGGTTTGCACGTTAAAATACAAGTTTATATTAATATTAAAACAGAACCTTAAAAAAAGAGTTTCACGCTATGCAAACACATGTTTTTTTAGGTTGATATTTCTATATCGCTCTACAATTGATGTATTAAGCACTTTTTTAACAGTGGTATTTCTATATCGCTCTACAATTGATGTATTGAGGACTATTTTAACAGTGGCATTTCTATATCGCTCTACGATTGATGTATTGAGCACTATTTCAACAGTGGTATTTCTATATCGCTCTTCAGTTGATGTATTGAGCTTTATTTTAACAGTGGTACTTCTATATCGCTCTAAAATTGATGTATTGGGCACTATTTTAACAGTGGTATTTCTATATCGCTCTAAAATTGATGTATTGGGCACTATTTTAACAGTAGTATTTCTATATCGCTCTAAAATTGATGTATCGATTACAATTTCAATAGTGGTATTTATATATCGCTCTACAATTGATGTATTGAGCACTATTTTAACAGTGGTATTTCTATATCGCTCTACAATTGATGTATTGAGCACTATTTTAACAGTGGTATTTCTATATCGCTCTACAATTGATGTATTGGGCACTATTTTAACAGTAGTATTTCTATATCGCTCTAAAATTGATGTATCGATTACAATTTCAATAGTGGTATTTATATATCGCTCTACAATTGATGTATTGAGCACTATTTTAACAGTGGTATTTCTATATCGCTCTACAATAGATGTATTGAACACTATTTTAACAGTGGTATTTCTATATCGCAATACAATTGATGTATTGAGCACTATTTTAACAATGGTATTTCTATATCACTCTATAATTGATGTATTGAGCACTATTTTAACAGTGGTATTTCTAAATCACTCTATAATTGATGTATTGAGCACTATTTTAACAGTGGTATTTCTATATCACTCTATAATTGATGAATTGAGCACTATTTTAACAGTGGTATTTCTATATCACTCTATAATTGATGTATTGAACACTATTTTAACAGTGGTAATTCTATATCGCTCTACAATAGATGTATTGAACACTATTTTAACAGTGGTATTTCTATATCGCTTTATAATTGATGTATTGAACACTATTTTAACAGTGGTAATTCTATATCGCTCTACAATAGATGTATTGAACACTATTTTAAAAGTGGTATTTCTATGTCGCTTTATAATTGATGTATTGAACACTATTTTAACAGTGGTATTTCTATGTCGCTTTATAATTGATGTATTGGGCACTATTTTAACAGTGGTATTTCTATATCGCTCTACAATAGGTGTATTGAACACTATTTTAATAGTGGTATTTCTATATCGCTCTACAATAGATGTATTGAACACTATTTTAACAGTGGTATTACTTTATTGCTCTACAATTGATGTATTGAACACCATTTTAACAGTGGTATTTCTTTATCGCTATACAATAGATGCATTGAGCACTATCTTAACAGTGGTATTTCTATATCGCTCTACAATTGATATATCGAGAACTATTTTAACAGTGGTATTTCTATATCTCTCTACAATTGATGTATTGAACACTATTTTAACAGTGATAATTCTATATCGCTCTACAATAGATGTATTGAACACTATTTTAACAGTGGTATTTCTATATCGCTCTACAATAGATGTATTGAACACTATTTTAACAGTGGTATTTCTTTATCGCTATACAATTGATGCATTGAGCACTATCTTAACAGTGGTATTTCTATATCGCTCTACAATTGATATATCGAGAACTATTTTAACAGTGGTATTTCTATGTCGCTCTTTCATTGATATATTGAGCACTATTGTAACAGTGGTATTTCAATATTGCTCTACAATTGATGTATTAAGCACTATTATAACAGTGGTGTTTCTATATTGTTCTACAATTGATGTATTGAGCACTACTTTAACAGTGGTATTTCTATCACTCTACAATTGATGTATTGAGTACTATTTTAACAGTGGTGTTTTTATATCACTCTACAATTGATGTATTGAGTACTATTTTAACAGTGGTGTTTTTATATCACTCTACAATTGATGTATTGAGTACTATTTTAACAGTGGTGTTTTTATATCACTCTACAATTGATGTATTGAGTACTATTTTAACAGTGGTATTTCTATATCACTCTACAATTGATGTATTGAGTACTATTTTAACAGTGGTGTTTTTATATTGCTCTACAATTGATGTATTGAGCACTTTTTAACAGTGGTATTTCTATGTCGCTCTTTCATTGATATATTGAGCACTATTGTAACAGTGGTATTTCAATATTGCTCTACAATTGATGTATTAAGCACTATTATAACAGTGGTGTTTCTATATTGTTCTACAATTGATGTATTGAGCACTACTTTAACAGTGGTATTTCTATCACTCTACAATTGATGTATTGAGTACTATTTTAACAGTGGTGTTTTTATATCACTCTACAATTGATGTATTGAGTACTATTTTAACAGTGGTGTTTTTATATCACTCTACAATTGATGTATTGAGTACTATTTTAACAGTGGTGTTTTTATATTGCTCTACAATTGATGTATTGAGTACTATTTTAACAGTGGTGTTTTTATATTGCTCTACAATTGATGTATTGAAAATATTGATTATAGTAGAGAGTATATTAGATTTGCGCTCTCTAATCTAATCGTAAAGAATTGCACATAATCTTTGATCGAGGTCGATTCCTTGAATTCTTTTAATCCCCCCCCCCCCCACCCGGGAAAATGATGCAAAATTAGAAATACCTTCATGGAAGTCTTCGAGTGTTACCGATTGTGAAAATTACCGATGAACATGCATATGAAATAAATTAACTTTGCATTCAACCAGAAACTGTTTTTACAATTAGTCACATATATTAGCGATTTCATATTGAAGTTGTATTTATTTATTTGGTCTGCATGTTGACTATCTCCTTAAACTATTGTAAACAAAACAACAGGAAGACACGAATAACTACAAGACTGAGTAAACAGTTATAAAGGATAAAGTTTGAATGTACATGTTGTTGAAACATGGTGAAACATGCAATACTACATGTAACCAATTTGTTATGCAGGTGGTTGTTGTCAGAGATTACTTAAGAAATCTATCCTGGTGTTACAACGGAACACGAGTCATATATCATCTGAGCCTTGATAACATATTATAGCCTTGGTTCCGGGGGTGTGAAGGCTGCAAACCACTGAAATATAATGAGTGAGTCCCCATTTTTGCGCTTATGTCATCTGAACGACGCTTCGGTTGTTAGTTTTCTAACCAAGAATAGCTAGGTGTTGACCACAGTTTTACAAGTTCTTTTTTGGTTACTCAGAGAAATTACCGCTTGGTCAGGGATAATCACTGTATTTTTCCTGTATTTACTCTCTGTCGGTAATGCAGGCCGGATGGGTATACTTGGCAAAAGTCGATCGGATGGCACAATAAGCTGAGGTCTTGTGAATTACAAACTGTACCAGTCAAAGAAACCTGGAAGGTTAATAATCGAAAAAGAGCCCCTGGCAAAATTTCCCTTCATTTGTCCGATCAGGTGACTTTAAGCTCCATTTCAGTTCAATTTCTTATTTTAACGCTACTGGCGTATCAGTCTTTCTTTACAGAAATTTATGGAGTTGACCGTATCGGAATTGATAATACTAAAACTGGTTTTTATATCGGTGGAACGTGATATTACATAACTACTATAAACATGCAGACCTGTGGCATTTACATGCACTGAAGTTATACAAGGCTTTTGGTGTTACACTCAATACATAAATTAACATTTATTCTTTACATTACAAGAATTATGGGTGATCCAGTGGTCGAAAATTTCTTTTGATATTATTCCAGATCTAATGAAAAAATATCGAAAATTAACAGAAGAAAACTACCTATCTGATCAACCAACTCTTCCAATTTCTCGGGAGAATCAAAAAACATACGAAACTACGTATGGTTCTTACATGGAAATTACACGCACGAACGTAGTTCACAGCCAGTTTGAATCTCGTCCTGAAAAATGTCTGGTATTTCCACAAAGAAATATAAATTAAAATAGTAAGCTCTTTTAAAAATTCTACTCATTAAGTCGAGGTAGAGATTCAAAATATGTTGTATGATCGTTCTGAAAAGTTACCTATTGATAAAAGGGAATACAATGACGATTGCATGTGTATTAATCCCATTTTCACCAAGCTGTTCAGATGTGAAATTTAAATTCGAAGCCATTACTAATTAGAGGTGTACCTAAAAGGCTATAATAGTTATGTTATATCACGTCCTAACGATATCAAAACAATTTCTAGTATAATCAATTCCGATAAGGTCAACGATATAAATATTTGTTAAGAAAAACTGATAAGTCAGTAGCGTAAAATTGTCTTGGTTAAAGGAACAGATGCGCCATTTTTTTACCAGTCATACTTTAGTCATATACCCCTTTTACACTCGGCTCAGATAAAGTGGGCCAGGCCCTGATTGGTGCCTGGCCCACTTCAAGTTTACTAGTGTAAACGGAATAAAGCGAGCCAATTTAATCGGGGCCTGGCACCGCAATAAGAGGTGGGCCAGGTCCGGATCGGTGCCTGGCCCACTTCACTTTAACTAGTGTAAAACGAATGCGTGCCTGGCTCCGTTTAAAAATTCTTCTGCACATGTGCAGGGTTTACAACTTCTGTATCGGCGGCCATTATAAATCTACTATTGTCCACCATTTTGACTCCTAGTGGACCTTTTGTAATCTTTTTAATTAGAGAGCGCACGCTTATTTCCGTTTAAAGTGGGCCTGGCCCAGATCACAGAACGCGAGTGTAAGCAGACGTTTTGATCGGAGCCAGGCACCGATCCGGGCCAGGCTCTCTTTATCGGGGCCCAGTGTAAAAGGGGTAATAGAAACGGTATTTGTTTAGCTAAGCCAACCAGTAATAGTGATCACAGCTCACCGTCGAAATTTGAACTTTTAAATCCATGTGTCCAGAGTTATCCAGGTTTGAATGTTAGAATGACGACTCGTCAATTTAAAATACTCTGTGATATATAGAAAAGACATATATAGAAATAGTGAGTACAATTCCTAGTTTGAAGTATTTTTAAAGGAGTTATTCGATTTTCGTACATTTTTAGTACTTCTGAAGACTATTTATTTACATATATTCAGGACTAACATCGACACCCCAAAATGGCGCACCCGTCCCTTTAGATAAATATAAGTATAGATATATCTTAAAAATTAGAAAGGATATCTCCATTTCATTGTGTCTTGGAATATATTTTTTGTAATTGTGGTCCTTAATCGGAAAGGTTTCATGACATCTTGGAATGGCGGTGAAATTATCTAGGTCACAACTGCCGGTTTTGTTACAGAGGCTTCGACCCTTGTTTCCAGATAACATAAAGGTGAGTCCTGTCTTTTCCAGTATTATTTTCTTCATCGAAGAGATTCGTTGCTAAAACTATTCACACAGTTAATCTAGGACTAATACGATTCTGTGCAACTAGGTCTGGGCCTTTTAACAGTCGAGACCAAACTTCGTTCTGTTTTTTATTAGCTTTTATTTTTGATATAGTCACTTCTGTAAGGGTCTAACGAACGTTCGTCAAATTAATCTTGTGACCTAACTCGATGACGGTTGATTCAACCAATCAGATTTCTACCCTCTCCAGCGCTGGCATTTTGTGACGCGGTGTTTATCACTTTAGGTCAAAAGGTTAACTTGACGAACGTTCAAGATGGCTGTCATTAACTGAAGTAACTATATTAAATGTAAAGCTAATAAAAATAATTTTCGCTCTTTTTTTATTGACAATATTTATAGATTTGTGGAGAACTGAAATGTAAATTAGAAAACCGATCTCAGAAACTGTGTGGTTTTGATTTTTTGGTAGATACATGGCCAAATTTCTCAACAGTCATCTGGAGGCCCGATAACACCAACAACAGGGTAAGCTTTTGTTTAAAGTCTGGAATTTTCCAGACTTTAACGGTTACATTAAAAATAAAATCTAAAATAAAACGAAAGAATGTTTGATCTAATTCAACCCTGAGTGAAATTCTCTGATCATCGATGTGAGACTGATGTGAGCGTTTCTTAAAGTTGATAAGGAGTGACCTTAGACCATTGGCTTCATTAGATTTTATATATTTCTCTGGGTTTTTTTTTCAGATGAAATTCATCGATAATCATCATTCTGTTTTGACACAGGATCGAGAAAAACTACGAGAAATATTGAAAAATTCGGATGTAATCAAATGGACGTCGCCTATCATACAATTTGCTGGTAATTCTTCTAAAGCTATTAACACAACTTCAGAACATAATACAAAACTGTCCTTCAAATAAATAATTTTCATTCATTCATTCATTCATTCATTCATTCATTCATTCATTCATTCATTCATTCATTCATTCATTCATTCATTCATTCATTCATTTATTTATTTATTGATTCATTCATTCATTCATTCATTCAAAATGTGTTTTGTTTTGTTCAAGATATTAGGGAGGATTTATATGACGTCATATCCGAGGCAGCCGACAGTCACGGTTTTCATGCGAAGTTAAGTTTTACATATTTAGCAATGTTTGCGGACAGGGAAATGACCAGTATGTAAGTACACTGATTATAA